ACTTTGCCTACCACATATCTGGACCCAAAGAGACCAGCTCACACAAAGGCAAAGACACACCAGGCCAAGCACCACTGCCACAGGCTTCTCCAACTTTTTTTCACCTCCATAACAGTAGGGGGAGTCTGTACACCCTTCACCTCATCTGACAAAAGTCAGATGGACCCACAAACAAAGCTAAGCTCAACCAACAAATCTAAAACAATGCTTTTAAAAACTGGAATACTGGAATGACCAGCTATTTTCACAAATCATCCTTCTAACAAACTAACAGCTTCACACACTAAAAAGCTCTAAAATCAAATGCTGCATGTTAGCATTAGCTTCTAGCTCATGCGAACACGAAGTTCCTCACCTTAACTACACCACCTCATTAAAATGCCAAATTATAAGGGATTAAACATCCCGGATGAGCCCCCCAAATGTTACGACCCCAAAAGAAAGTCTAGGGGGTAATGGGGTCAGTAACATATGGTTTAGATGTGATGGTTGCAGCACGAACCAGGAAAGAGCAAGATACGAATAGGAAAGCTTCTTTTCTTATTTATTATACGCTAGGGGTAGAGGATAAAGTACACTCAGGCTATGACTCAAGTGAGACCTCCAATACTATGTACAATATTTACAGAAAAAAAAATGGCAAATATGCTTGCTGTCATAAAGAGCGGGATTCTGGACCCGGACGGTGCTAAAGGAAAGAAATTAACAAAACAAACAAACAAACAAAAAAAACTACCCTAGCTCTTTAACTGAAATCCTCACCTAGTAGAAAAAAAACTATCTACACTAGTCTTCCCTATGGCATAACATAAATACATGGGTTGGCGCCCGCCCCTTGCCTAAGGTGTCTATACAATGGGCAGCTACGTGATGTAAAAATGTATGAGCATGCCCATCTAACCTGTCCAGAACCTCAAGAAAGCAAAGCAGTGTATGAGAGAGAGAAAGGGAGAGAGAGAGCATAGACAGCCATAAACAGCAAGGCTAGCGTGATTAACAGTGCGCGGCACGAAAACACAAGCTAAAATGAACTGAACAAACACACAGACAAAGCTATCGTAGACATACACAAAACTGCATGAGCAGAAAGAACAGAAAGCTTTTGTGTCTGCGACAGCAACTACAACTAGGAGCATGCCAAAACAGCATGGAGCACAGGGGTAACGTCAGCCTCCTCACGAGCTTTGCCGTCCTTCCTCCAGGGCCGGAACTCTGCATGATGATTTGCCATCAAGTGGTACACGTCAAGCCCCTAACGACGACCGACACTGCAGCCAACCTGTAACAGAGATGGGAGGAGGGAGGAGACATACGGAATAGAGAGGGAAAAGAGAGAGAACAAACGGGCAAGCGAGAGAGAGAAAGAAACATACCAGCCAGACACCCCTTATCCAGGCCGGACACGTAACAGTCCCATCAAGCATTGTGTTCAGTTAGTGATTTGCTTCGTATAAAGGGCGCAGCTGGTCAAACGGTACCTTATCTGGGCTACACTGAAGTGGAAGTACGTTTTCCCAAAATTGTCTTTGGAACGGTAAAAGATTCACCAACCTAGCTCTAGTCAGCCCAGATCAATCCTATAATGAAAGAGTTCCACTTTTAGTAGGGACAAATATTCTCAGACACCAGTGAAACTGAGTAGTCAGACGAAGTCTGTGTGTTGAAAGGAATTTGCCACACTAAGTCAGGAGGAGGAAGATTCAAAGCCATAATCAGCGAGCCTCAGCAACATGCTGTTCCAGGTGGGTTAATCATATTTGATCAGATGGTAGAGGTCAAGCCTATGTCTCATAATAACTTTAAGTTGGTTGAGCAGAATGCTTCTACTAGGGATATAACACTTCCACCTTGAGCTGTCATTGCTGAGTGTGCAGCCATCGATTGGGCAATGCCTCTCTCATCCACCACTCCTTAAAGGAAAGCTGCTTCAGCAAACTCATTCTTTGATGGTTGTCCAAAACGAGAAGCCAGTCCCTGCAGATGGTCCGGGGTGCAATTTAAATTTTGAGGGTAGTCCTATATTCTTCAGAATTTAAGAACCACATTCTGAATAGAATATATTGTGAAGTCCCAGATGCCTTTGCAAGACATGATCTTGATGTCGGGACTCTGGCAGGTGTCACACATCGTATTGAGCTTGAACCCCATACCCCTATCAAAGAATGCCCAGCACCACCACAGTCACCAGCAGACTTTGAAGATCTTAAAAGTCATTTGCGAGAGCTACTGGCATGTGGTATAATAGAAGAGTCCAACAGCCCCTATGCATCACCAGTAGTTTTAGTATGCAAGAAAAATGGTGGTGGATTATCGTAAATTGAACAAATTAACAAAGAAAAATGCGTACTCTCTACCTCGGATTAAGGAGACTTTCACTCTTCTGTCAGGCTCAAAGTGGTTTACAGTGCTGGATCTTAAAAGTGGGTACTATCAGCTCGAAGTGGAGCCTGCTGATCGCCCCAAGGCGGCCTTTACCACTCCATTTGGGACGTGGAAAGGACTCACCAACTCACCTGCCACCTTCCAGCGTACCATGGAAAGGGTCATGGCAGGCATAAACCTACAAGACGTCATAGCATTTCTCGATGACCTGATTATATTTTCCAGCACTTTAGAGGAACATGAACAGAGGTTGCTGACTGTGCTAAAGTGGATCTCTGATGTTGGTCTCAAGCTGTCACCAGCCAAATACAAATTCTTTCAGACTTCAGTGAACTATCTAGGTCAAGTCATATCGGAACAGGGAATGCAGTCAGATCCTGAATAAGTGCCCGCCATTAAGAACTGGCCTAGGCCTACAATTGTGAAGGAATTAAGATCCTTTCTTGGTTTCGCTGGATATTACAGAAAGTTCGTAAGAGATTTTTCAAAGCTTGCCAAACCTTTTAATAACTTATTAAAAGGAGAGTTTGCTACAAGACGCAAGGACAGCTGTTGCAAGCAGAAGTCAAACTCACAGGCCTTGGAAGGGCAGTGGAATATAGAGTGCCAGGTGGCTTTTGAAACAATTGTGGACAAACTGACATCAGCTCCTGTCCTTGGTTTTGCTGATTGGAAGCTCCCATATATACTTCACACAGACGTCAGTACCATCAGATTAGATGCAGCCTTATATCAAGTACAAGACGGTAGGACAAGAGTGATAGCTTATGCAAGCAGAGGCCTCAGCAAAAATGAAAAAAATTACCCTGCCCATAAGTTAGAATTTCTTGTCTTGAAATGGACTGTTAGTGAGAAATCCCATGATTATTTATATGGGACCAGTTTCAAGATTCTCACTGATAACAACCCATTAACATACATCTTGACCAGTGCCAAACTGTTCGCGACAAGCCATAGATGGTTATCTGCCATTTCAATGTACAGTTTTGATATACATTACAAATCTGGAAAGAACAATTTGATGCTGATGGGCTTTCTAGGATACCTTGGGGTGCATCAGAAGATGCGCAGATTCTGAAGAGCTTAAGCAGAGAGTGTTAAATCTTATAGATCGTGTCAGACAGTCTCCAGAGGAATTCAGTGTTCTTGGCGCTGGGGCAGTGGAAGCTGTTTGCATGAGGCATGATGTGCAGCTTCTGATCAACACTGTCGATGAAGAAGTTCTGGAAGGTGAATCGGAGATAGCTGCAGTAGAGACGCTCTTATGTGATGAAGGTGCTGTTCCAGAGGATTTGGTTGAGCCAGAGCCATGGCCAGGCCAGGCTTCTCTTCCTAGTATGACCCCTGGTGACTGGTACCAGCTGCAGAGAGCTGATGTGAGTTTCTCTCGTATGATTGAAATCCTAGAGAATGAATCCATTAAGGAGACACTGGACAGCAGCAATGAACTGCCTGAAGTGCTCCTGAGAGAAAATTCAAAGCTCTAACTTAAAGAGGGCGTTTTGTTTTGTAAAATTAAAAAGCCACAAGGAGAGATTTTTCACCTGCTAGTTATACCCCAAAGCCATAGAGACCGGACATTTGAAGGCATTCCTGATGAGATTGGTCACATGGGCTTTGAGCAAACGATTGAGCTGGCAAGGGCCAGGTTCTATTGGCCAAAGATGACCAAATACATCGAAGAGAAGTGCAGAACATGTGAGAGGTGCATACGGAGGAAGGCCCGAGCTCAAAAGACAGCCAAACTGGTAAATATTCAGGTTCAGGGACCCCTTGAGTTAGTATGCATGGATTTTCTTACATTAAAGCCAGTTTAGAAAGATACACGAAACATATTGGTCATCACAGATCACTTTACTAAATATGCCCAAGCCTTTCCCGCTCGTGATCAGACAGCTAAAACCATAGCAACTGTGATGTGGGAAAACTTCATCAGCCATTACATGTTTCCTCACAGGCTGCATAGTGATCAGGGAATTTTGAGTCAGAGGTTGTGTATGAGCTATGCAAATTGTCAGGGGTCAAATCCAGGACCACCCCTACCATCCAAGGGGAAATCCCGTTGAAAGGTTTAATAGAACCTTGTTAGACCTGCTTGGAACCCTCAGTGAGAAGAAAAAAGAACACTGGAGAAAGTATGTAAAGCCATTAGTCCATGCATAAAATTGTACGCGCAACAATGCAACAGGGGAGGCTCCATTTCTTTTAATGTTTGGCTGACAGCCTCAACTTCCAATTGATCTCTCCTTTGGTATTAGTCCAGAAGGGCACAATACAAAAACACACTCCACCAATGTGAGAGACCTGAAGAACAGACTCAAGCATGCATATCGTTTGGCTTCAGAGAATGCTGGAAAACGCTAGCTAATGAACAAAAGGCGCTGGGATGCCAAGGCCAGGAGTTTTGGTCAGAAATTTGGGTCTCAGGAGAAAACATAAAATAGCTGAAAGGTGGGAGCCAAATGTCTATGTTGTAGTAAAACAACCTGATGAGAACATTCCGGTTTATGTTGTAAGGGAAGAAAATGGTGATGGGAAGGAGCGGATCTTGCATAGAGATCTTTTACTACCCTGTGGATTTTTGCCTGCAAAGCTGAGTGATGATGAGGAGATGGAGACTAGGCAAAGGCCAGCAATTCAAGCTTCACAACCAGTGACAGAGATGAGGTCTCCTGCTGAATCTGCTGAGGGGATGGACCTGTCCTACTATGAGGGAAGTGAGTTATCTAAGGAGGACAAGGATGAACAGCCAGAAGCTACTTTGAATCCTGATGCACTTGAGTTCTTTTTGGATAACAGGATGAGTAGAGAGGGAAATTCTGTAGTCCACAAGACTAGAAATGGTCCTACCAAGTTCAAAGAAGTGGAAGATGAAAGAGAAGCTGAAGTTGAATCTGAGGGTAGTCTAGTCATGGGGGCCAGTAGACCTAGCAGAAGAAGAGTACCTCTTGCATATCTTTCAGATTATGAAATTGGCTACAGAGCCAGTTGTAGGCAGCAGATGGTAGCTGGTAGATCTTAAGAGACAGAGCTTTACAATGTCTTATCGGCATTAAAGAAACAGATTGAAATTCTTGCTCAGTCTATAAGGGAAGGAGCTAATGAGGACGTTAGATTTCAAGCTGGGGAGGATGTGACCCACCCAAGAGAAGGAAAAAAGTTATAGCAGATTTATTTTTTTTTATATAAATATATTTTTTTCCCATTTGTTTTTTTATTATTAAAAATGGTCTGCCTACTATTTACTGAAAAATGGCTAAAATAAAGAGGGTATTGAGATCTGTTGCAACACACGGCAACATGTGATCACAGCGAGCCTAATTGTGAATGTAGCACTGTGGCTGCGGGGGGTTGGGGGGTGGTTTGCATCGAATGCTTTGGTTGAATGAATGTATACTCACTGATGCATTTTGCAACAAGTTGTAAAAGTGTGGGAAAAAAAAGAAAAGGAGAAAACTTTGTTCAATGCTCTACTAAAGGAAAAAGTAAAACTCCTGTTACTGTACACACTGGCCTGAGACATTTTGTTATTCAGACAATAAGGTAGTGTATTGCTACCTGACCCACACAAAAGTTCTCTTTTTTCTTCTTCTGTTGTGTACACAAAAAGGATTTGAAAGGTTTTCTTTGTGTAGCAGGTTACACAGGGAATAGAGGTTTGTGGTCTTGATGAAAAAAATAACAGCACATCATCTCCCACTTTCAAGTACGAATACCAGATATTAGAGCATTCTGCCTTATTGCTTGAACCAATGGTTCAATCTCAAAATATCAAAGAGCAACTGGCTAAGAGCGTTGTTGTCTCTATTTCCACAATGAAGGGGAAAGTTGGTAGACCTAGCAAATATATGCACAAACAAGACCACTCAACCCAGTCAAATGCCTTCTTTGCAACCCTGGGATATCTGAATGTTATCAAGGAGCCATCTAATGTAATCAAAGATATCCAACACTTATCCAAAAACTCATCTGGTCTTCCTTAATAATATCAGGTAGCACTTTTTCCAAACACATGGCTAATATTTTTGACCAGTACCTCCATACTTATTGTGGGGACCAGCAGGGGATGTAAAAATAGTCTGCTGGAGTTTACCTTCCTGGCCATCTTTACAGCACTGCTGTGCTACAGGCTTGTCAACAGTAGTGGTTCAGAGTGTAAGTGATATAGTGTGAAAAACACATCCAAAAACACTCATAAGTAATTAGCATCTGGATACGGTGTCAAATATCTGATGTCATATGCAAACAGTTGTAGATATACAATACCAATACAGATATACTTCCATTTGGCCCAAATGTGTCTACAATGTGTCAAAGCTCATCCTGAAATATCTGAGAAATCACATAGAAATTCCTTTTGCAGTGTATCTTGGATGTATTCACACTGGACACCTTCACTATCAGGAAAAAATCCATTCAGCCCACAAAGAATGTAAATGTGAATAGGCTCTTTGTCAACCAACAATCTATCACATACTATTGAGGTAACATACTAACTACAAGTTTCTGACATCCACTGAAAAAAAGATTTTTGCCCACTTCCCAAGCAGAATTCTTTGAATTGGACAATATTTTATTTTATTATTTTATTTTTTGCAAGTACAGCCCTAAATGTTCAAATTCCTTCACAGCATTTTTATAGGAGTTCGATCTGGGCTTTGACTTGGCCGTTCAACAAGCCTCCATTTCTTCTTTTGATGGTACTACACACTTCAATAACATAGAGCAAACCAGATCAGATAATTCAGGTTTATATTAGACAGGTTCATCCAAGATATTCTCTAATAACTGAGTGTGGGTGCACCTGAATTCAACTGAACTCATTTAAAGTACTGATATGTAAGGGTGTACTTACTTTTTTATATAAGAACATTTTATTTCTACTTATTTCAGTTGTATAATCATAAGGCTTTATAATGAATTTGTTTCATTAGATGAAAAATAAATGGCCACTGAAGTGTTAAGTATATTCCTATAGTTTTTTATACAGTTGTTTGCTCAAAATTGCATTTTCTGACAATGATTTTTTATTAAATCATGTTCTTTTCTTGACAAAATGAATGAGATAACAGCACTGAGAAATCATATAACTGGGGAAGATGATTAAATGACAATGGTAAAAAGATAAATGGTTTAAGTTGAAGCAATACTGTAGAATTTTCAACATTCAATACATTTTAATTTATTAATCATAGCTTCTTTAACTGATAAAATCATGGGTAATATGTGATATTTAAGTGTGTATATATATATATATATATATAGTATTATTCCAGAACTATGACTATAGATGTATCAGGTTTAATATTTCACCCTATCTAACTTTCATTTACAAAATCATAACAACATAAATATGGAATGCAAATAAAAGGTCATAATTTTAGAAGTGAAAATAGACCTTTCATCTTTCACACGAAGAAAAGTGTCAGTAGCAGAGTCTGAGTATAATTTCACCAGAATAAAAAAAATCTCCGTAACCAACAGATGTTCACAAAATAAGGCTTTAAAGAGTAGATTTTACTCATGACAAAGAATCTTGATTTACTGTTAGGTGTTGATGAATGGGCAAAATATGTTCTGATGCTTCCAGGCCTTTTTGTTCAGAAAGCTCTGCTGTCTATTCATGGTATGCCTTAGACTATCTGTGATTACACATTCAGCACAGGCTGCAATCAAATGTGTTCACTGTTTGGCACAGAAAAATGACTTATGAGAAGTACACAGCAGTTTTGCTGCAATTTTCTTAATGCTATTCAACAGTTCCTGTAGTTTCAGTCCATAGATAATATTTTTTCATTATTTTGTCATACACAGATTTCAGTCTGCAAAGACATGTGTGTTTCTCTTCCAAATCATTCCCTTAATCCTATTCGAAATCTCTTGCAGTTTCAGTCCATATACAATAGGATTAAGTAGAGGAGGGATGACCCCATTTTGAACTGACATTATCATAGCAAATATATGAGGTACATTTCCTTCTAATCTGGTGTTGATCACTTCAAAACATGCAGTAACAGAGAAATTAATGAAAATGACAAAATGTGGGAAGCAAGTTTGTAGAGCTTTTCTTCTGAACTCTTTTGAATTCTGTAAACAGACTTCAAGTATTCTAACATATGAGTAGATTATGAAGATCAGTGGTGGACAGACAGCAATGGGTAAAAGAATCAGTCCATATGTACTCATATCAGATATGTCCCCACAACCTAATTTTGCAATTGAGTAATTATTACAATATATTCTGTTTAATTTAAATGTACACAGCGGTCTGTTTGACAGTATTATTGATATGCCCATTTCACAGGAAGGTACAAACCAACAGAAAAATAAGAGCTTTTTCACAGTGGACATTTTTACAAGAGTTGCATATTGTAATGGTTTACATATGGACACATATCTGTCATAGGCCATAGCTGATAACAGTGTGAACTCCGATGTAGAATATGTATAAAGGCAAAAGGCCTGAAACAGACAGGCTCCATGAGAGATAACTTGTTTTTCAGACAGAAAATCACTCAGTACTTTAGGATATAAGGCAGTTGTTCCAAAAAGAGCATTGCAAAGTAAAGCAGCAGTGAATATGTACATCGGCTCATGGAGACAATTGTTTGTGTAAATAATAGAAATGACAACAACATTACAAAAAATGATCAGTGTATAAACTGTGAGGCAAATTATGAAATAAACGTATCTATATTTCTCCAACTCCACGTGCCCTTCCAAAGATATATATGTAACATTATAAAAATAATCCATGAATTTCCATGAAGTCACCCAAAATGTCTAAAACAGGTTAGTCAGTGTAATGTGGTTGTGCTCATACCAGTCTTTTATGTGTTTAGTCAGCCATCACAAACTCTATTCATAAGAGTGAAGATACTCCTTACAGTGAAGGTGCTGTAGCTGTACAGGCTGCAGTGAAGACATCAGCTTTGTGTGTCTATTTTTATATATTCTCTACTGGACAGATACATATTCCTTAGCGGTTCACTGACTAATTTACTGATTGGTAAGTGTAGCCTGCCTCTAAGCAGTTTTTAGCCTAGATCACACACCACACACACACACACATTCCAAACAATCTCAGGCACAACACATACTCAACGCATCACACATGCTAACATAGGAATGTGGGAAAGGGTTTTAAGTTGTAATGTTGAAATTTTAAGCAGTGAATATATGTGACATGAACTGTGAAATCAAGCAAAATGATTTGTCTTTTTTCTTATAATTTTTGTTTGATAATTTATATCAAATAGAATCTGTCATGACATGCCATAAAGCAGTGATAGTTGACATAATGCTGACATAAATGACACATGAAACCACTGATGCACACCCTGATTTCTTTGCTCTTTCTGTCATTGGACAAACTTTATGCAACAGAGTTGAGTCCTGTCAGATTGCGGAAGTGTGGAGCAGTAACTGTTTGTGTTACGCCCACAGTCACAAACTCAAATGCTCTCTGAGTGAGGGTTATAATGCTTGAATCCATTTATTCAAATCGCGGGACATCATTACATTTTTTTTTTAAATATCTTTATTACGTTTTTCAGATTCAGCACAGAACAAAGTAGCTCAGACATAACAAAATGATTAGATTAGATAAGATTTAGAAGTAAGAATACAAAGAAAAATAATGGGCATTATCACCATCCTCAACCCTCACCATCTCCCACAACAGAGACAGGTAGCATCGAATAAACAAATATGTAATGTGTCAAAGCTCATCCTGAAGTATCTGAGAAATCACATAGAAATTCCTTTTGCAGTGTATCTTGGATGTATTCACACTGGACACCTTCACCATCTGAAAAAAATCCATTCAGCCCACACAGAATGTAAATGTAAATAGGCTCTTTGTCAACCAACAATCTATCACATACTATTGAGGTAACATACTAACTGCAAGTTTCTGACATCCACTGAAAAAAGATTTTTGCCCACTTCCCAAGCAGAATTCTTTGAATTGGACAATATTTTATTTTATTTATTTTTATTTTTTGCAAGTACCGCCCTAAATAACTCAGGTTTATATTAGACAGGTTCATCCAAGATATTCTCTAATAACTGAGTGTGGGTGCACCTGAATTTAACTGAACTCATTTAAAGTACTGATATTAAGGGTGTACTTACTTTTTTATATAAGAAAATTTCATTTCTACTTATTTCAGTTGTATAATCATAAGTGTCTCTTGCTAAACGGTATCACTTTTCTCTACAAAAATTGATTAAAAGAAAACTGGATATCTATATGTGCAAATATGCTGAAAATATCCAAATTCTACATGATTTTCTGTTATTTCTTCACATGACAGTATATCTGTAAATTTAGAAATTGTATCTCTAAGGCTTTATAATGAATTTGTTTCATCAGATGAAAAATAAAAGGCCACTGAAGTATTAAGTATATTTCTATACAGCTTACTATACGGTTGTTTGCTCAAAATTGCATTTTCTGACAGAATGATTTTTTATTAAATCATGTTCTTTTCTTGACAAAATAAATGTGACAACAGCACTGGGAAATCATATTATTGGAGAAGACGATTAAATGACAAAGGTAAAAAGGAAAAAAAAAACACTAAAAACCTATGAAAAAAAAACACTATTCAAAACATTATTAAATTATTAATCATAGTTTATTTAACTAATAAATGATTAGGGTAATATGTGATATTTATGCATTACATATATATATATATATATATATATATATATATATATATATACAATTCTATAGTATTATTTCAGAACTATGACTATGGATGTATCAGGTTTAATATTTCACCCTATCTAACTTTCATTAACAAAATCATAACCACATAAATATGGAATGCAAACCAAAAGGTCATAATTTTGGAAGTGAAAGTAGACCTTTCATCTTTCACACGAAGATAAGTATCAATACGAGAGTTTGAGTATAATTTCAACAGAATAAAAAAAAATTATCTCCCCAACCCACAGATGTTCACAAAATAAGGCTTTAAAGAGTAGATTTTACTCATGACAAAGTATCTTGATTTACTGTTAGGTGTTGATGAATGGGCAAAATATGTTCTGATGCTTCCAGGCCTTTTTGTTCAGAAAGCTCTGCTGTCTATTCATGGTATGTCTTAGACTATCTGTGATTACACATTCAGCACAGGCTGCAATCAAATGTGTTCACTGTTTGGCACAGAAAAATGACTTATGAGAAATACACAGCGGTTTTGCTGCAATTTTCTTAATGCTATTCAACAGTTCCTGTAGTTTCAGTCCATAGATAATATTTTTTTCATTATTTTGTCATACACAGATTTCAGTCTGCAAAGACATGTGTCTTTCTCTTCCAAATCATTCCCTTAATCCTATTCAAAATCTCTTGCATTTTCAGTCCATATACAATAGGATTAAGTAGAGGAGGGATGACCCCATTTTGAACTGACATTATAATAGCAAATATATGAGGTACACTTCCTTCTAATCTGGTGTTAATCACTTCAAAAAATGAAGTAACAGAGAAATTAATGAAAATAACAAAATGTGGGAAGCAAGTTTGTAGAGCTTTTCTTCTGAACTCTTTTGAATTCTGTAAACAGACTTCAAGTATTCTAATATATGAATAGATTATGAAGATCAGTGGTGGACAGACAGCAATGGGTAAAAGAATCAGTCCATATGTACTCATATCAGATATGTCCCCACAACCTAATTTAGCAATTGAGAAATTATTACAATATATTCTGTTTAATTTAAATGTACACAGCGGTCTGTTTGACAGTATTATTGAACTGCCCATTTCACAGGAAGGTACAAACCAACAGAAAAATAAGAGCTTTTTAACAGTGGACATTTTGACAAGAGTTGCGTATTGTAATGGTTTACATATGGACACATATCTGTCATAGGCCATAGCTGATAACAGTGTGAATTCTGATGCTCCGTACGTATAGGCACAAAAGGCCTGAAACAGACAGGCTCCATGAGAGATAACATGTTTTTCTGACAGAAAAGCACTCATTACTTTAGGATAAAAGGTAGTTGTTCCAAAAAGAGCATTGCAAAGTAAAGCAGCAATGAATATGTACATCGGCTCATGGAGACGTTTGTTTGTGTAAATGATAGAAATGACAACAACATTACAACAAATGATCAGTGTATAAACTGTGAGGCAAATTACAAAATAAACATATCTATATTTCTCCAACTCCACATGCCCTTCCAAAGATAAATATGTAACATTATAAAAATAATCCATAAATTTCCATGAAGTCACCCAAAATGTCTAAAACAGGTTAGTCAGTGTAATGTGGTTGTGCTCACACCAGTCTTTTATGTGTTTAGTCAGCCATCACAAACTCTATTCATAAGAGTGAAGATACTCCTTACAATGAAGGTACTGTAGCTGTACAGGCTGTGGTGAAGACAACAGCTTTGTGTGTCTATGTTTATATATTCTCTACTGGACAGATACATATTCCTTAGCGGTTCACTGATTGGTAAGTGTAGCCTGCCTCTAAGCAGTTTTTAGCTTAGATCTCTCTCTCTCTCACACACACACACACATTCCAAACAATCATAGGCACAACACTCCATGCATCACACATGCTAACATCGGAATGTGGGAAAGGCTTTTAAGTTGTAGTGTTGAAATTTTAAGCAGTGACATGTGACATGAATATATGTGACATGACATGACAAAATTATTAGATACAATTTAGAAGTAAGAATACAATACCATCTCCCACAACAGAGACAGGTAGCATCAAATAAACAAATATGTAAAGAAATGGCAAAACTGGTTCTGCAGTAGAAACAAACAGAGACAGGCTAGGCCAATTTAGGAAACCCTTGTATTAAAGAGATGACAACATAGGTCCAATATGACCTAGATAGGGTGGTCCCAGACTTTAAAGATGGGATCCACTGAGGTGCGAAGCATACATGGAATGTATTAGTTCGGGAGACACTCCATTATAAGATTGTGCCATGACTTTTTGTTGGAGCAACATCCTCCAAAATGTTTTTACTAGTGTCAAATGTCAATACATTCAATAGTCTCTTGTGTTTGATATTGACAATTTGACCATCTGGAAAACCAAGAAGGAAGCACACAGGATCCAATTCTATTGGATCACCGAAAATTGTACACAGTTCATTCACAATACCAGACAAATGGCTTTGTAGCTTCACACTTTATCAGAAACAGTGAATATAACTGCCAAGCTCAGAGTTGCATTTAACAGCAGAGCAGAGAGACTTTAGCATCCATCTTATTTTGAGAGCAGGTGTTACAGTGTATATGTACAATGTTAAATGCTAAACTAAGTAAAATTGGTTATTATTACAGTCTAGGATGTCAGTCGAGATGACCAAGCCTTCCTTAATAGTTTGGAAAGTGAGAGATGAGTGGGCTGTATTAAAAACACTAATACAATTCTTTGACACTTGTGAAGACAAGACCCTTTCTATATGTGAAGTGGTACCAATGGTTGTTATTGTGGTTTGTTTGGTAAGAAAGTGTCTCTTTTTTGCCACTATCTAAAAAATCACCTTTTTGTAAACCATGTCACTATCCTGCTGAAAGTATAGTAAAGTCTGGCCATCAAACAGATCTAACATCATTATTGCCATTCTTTAAAACTCTGATTCTGGTAACTTGACAGAAAATCTGGGAAATCCAGAAAGGGAGTAAGAGGACTTGTTAACTGAGTCCAGCCCTGTATAGTACAGATGGATCTCCAGGCTCTTACTTCACTCAGAGTAATAGAGTTAGTACAGAGGACCAACAGATAACAAATCACAAATAACAAATTCCACAAAAAGCATTTGGACTGCAAGGGTTCAATGTCAAGCCAGATTGGGACTGGGTCAAATTTAAGCCAGTCCACTATTACCCGAAGGTGCACTGCCAATTGATAAAGTCTTACATTTGATAATCTAAGCCCTCATCTAAGTCAGGCATTTGGAGTTTTGCCATCTTCAGCTGAGGCTTCCTTTTGCTCCAGATAAAAAACTCAACCAGCCTTTATCCACTTTAATAACGTTAGATAACAAAATAGGCATCATTTGTATGGGGTAGAGTAGTCTGGGCAATGTGTTCATTTTAATGAGAGAGGTAAAGAGCCTCAAAGATCTAAATCTGCCTTTCTGGCATTCAAAAGTAGACGGAACATGCACTATATGGACAAAAGTATTGGGACACTCCTCCTAAATATTAAGTTCAGGTGTTTCAGCCACACTCATTACTAACAGGTGGATAAAATTAAGCACATAGCCTAGTAGTCTCGATAGACAAACACTGGCAGTAGAATGGGTCGTACTGATGAGCTCAGTGAATTCAAACATGTCACTGACATAGGATGCCACCTTTGCCACAAGTCAGTCTGTGAAATTTCTGTCCTGCTAGATCTACCTGTCAACTGTAAGTGCTATTACTGTGAAATGGAACCATCTAGGAGCAACAACAGCTCAGCCACAAAGCAGTAGGCCACACAAACTCACAGAGTGGGACTACTGAGTGCAGTGTCTATCCTCTGTTGAATCACTCAATAAAGAGTTCCAAACTGCCACTGGAAGCAACATCAGCAAATGAACTGTGCTTCAGGAGCTTCACAAAATGTGTTTCCATCCATGGTGGAGCAGCTTCACACAAGCCTAAGATCAAAATGCACTTTGTCAAATGGGGTTGGGAAGGGGGGAGGTACAGTGTGTGTTTAAAGCATGCCACCACTGGACTCTGAAGCAGTGGAGAACATTACCTGCCTGACTGCAATGTGCCATCTGTAAAGTTTGGTGGAGGAGGGATAATGCTATGCACCTGTTTTTCAGGGTTGGCTTAGGCCCCTTAGTTTCAGTGAAGGGAATCTTAATGCTTCAGCAGACCAAGACATTTTGGATAATTGTACGCTTCCAACTCTGTGGGAACAGTCTGGGGAAGAACCTTTCCTGTTCCAGCATGACTGAGCCCCAGTGCACAAAGCAGCTCCATAAAGGCCTGACTGGGTGAGTTTGGTGAGGAAAAACTTGACTGGCCCTCACAGAGCCCTGACCTCAACCCCATCAAACACCTTTGGGATGAACTAGAACAGAGATTGTGAACCAGACGCTATTGTCCAACATCAGTGTCTGACCTCACAAATGTTCTTCTGGATGAATGGGCAAAAATCCTCACAGACACTCGACAATATAGAAAGCCTTCTCAGAGGAGTGGAAGCTGTTTGTAAGGGAATAGAGGTTTATAGTCTTGATATGCATCATCTGCATAAATGCAAATTTTACACTCCTACTTTCAAGTAAGAATACCAGATATTAGAGCATTCTGCCTTATTGCTTAAACAAGTGGCTCAATAGCAAAATATCAAAGAGCAACTGGCTAAGAGGGTTGTCATCTCTATTTCCACGGTGAAGGGGAAAGTTGCTAAACCTAGCAAATATATGCACAAACAAGACCACTCAACCCAGTCAAATGCCTTCTTTGCAACCCTGGGATATCTGAATGTTATTAAGGAGTCTTCTAATGTTATCAAAGGATTTCCAACCCTTAATAAAAACCCATCTGGTGTTCCTTAACAATATCGGGTAGCACTTTTTCCAAACGCATGGCTAATATTTTGGAAAGAGTTTTTGGTCAGAGTTAAGTTGGGCTATTGGCCTATAGAGGGCACATTTGTCAAGGGACTTTTCTTTTATAAGGACAAGGGAAATATTGGCCTCCCTGAGTTATTGAGGTAGGATCACATTTTCAAAAAATTGGTTAAACATAGCCAGCAATGGATCTTATAGAATGCTATTAAACTCTTTAAAAAACTCACACCCAAAACCATCTGGCCCTAGGGCCTTCCCCAGTGGCATAGACTTTAAAGCAAGCAATGTAATTTGGGCATTTGACTGGCGTTTTTGAAAGAAAAATAAGTGCGATTAGCAAGACATCTGCCAGGTTTGTCCCCAGACTTCTGCCTGGTTAATTTAAGAATGTGCTCTGAGTACTGCGCCAGCAAAATATTCAGTGCAGCATGTGTGGCCGTCCATTCCTTGAGAGAACTTGGGCTTGGGCTAGATATGTAATATTTTTCCAATTCAGTTAATCTACACTCAAGGGGCTTATGCTTTTTATTCTTTTGACATCTCTTAGATGCTACAAAAGACAAAATCAAGCTCCCCTCCAAAAGATATAGGTATTGTCTGTAGATAGGTAGGTAGTTTGAAAAAATATCTTCAATTCTGTGGTATAGTAGTACATGAAGCTGTCATTTGTGACAGGTGATTGTTGAAGCCTTTAAATCGAGAGAATAGCTAGGAGGACAATAGAGATTCATAAATGTAACAGCCATTCGGTCTCTGTACTAGCGAAGTGAGAGCTGTCCATATACTTGGCATTAAGTCAAGGATGTTAAGTATGAGTGTTGGACTCCACCAACTTTGTTCCTTGTCTCCACTCATCTTTGTCATATTCATGGAATTGGGTGTCATTATGTGTGAAGGCCAAAGCGTGGCATCTCTGCTGTTTGCAGATGATGATCTTTTGGCTCCATTACATGGATGCCTGTAGCGCTCACTGGAGCAGTTTGCAGTTGAGTGTGAAGCGGTTGGTATGCGGATCAGCGCCTCCAAGTCTGAGCCCATGGTCCTATCCCTGAAAAGGATGGCATACCCACTCCAGGATAAGGGGAGAGGACCTGCCACAGGTGGAGGAGTTTAAGTATCCCAGAATCTTGTTCACAAGTGATGGGAAGAGGGATGAAGAGATCAGAGGGAGCTGAGCCATAAGGCAAAGCTCTTTGATTACTGGTTGGCCTACATCCCAAGCCTCACTTATGGTCATGAGCTTTGGGTAATGACTGAAAGACTAAGATAGCGGATACAAGAAGGGAAATGAGCTTTCTTCACATGGTGGTGGGCTGCACTCTACTTGATAGGGTGAGGAGCTCAGACATCCAGGAGGAGCTCAAAATAGAGCCACTACTTCTCTACTTTCAGAGGAGCCAGTTGAGGTGGTTCAGGCATCTGATCAGGATACCCTCTCTTTACTATGATCAAACTAATTTCAAGTTCAGATATTTTTTAGCAGTTGCAATTAACCAACCCTGATATCTAGGGGTGCGGCTGCAACCCCCGCCCCCACTTCCTGTGTTCCTGCTCCAACACAATCCACACAACAGACACTTCAAACTACCTCACACTACAAACACCCCACACAACACTCTCTACCCATTCCGCACAACACACCCTCCACACACAACACACTCCAAACAACCT